TTCAGAAGAACTAAAGTGAGTGTAACGTTTTATTAATCTTTATATTAATATTTATATTAATCTTTGCAAATCGCCAGCTGCACGCTTCACGATGAATGCATCGGTTTACACTCAGGGTACATTACAGCATGTTTTCTATGTACAACGTTCTCAATATAATTCATAATCCCACGTTTATAATGAACAACGCGTTATGGTATTGTGTTATTGTGTTACAAACGGTGTATGCGCAGAACAGAGAGGCGGGGTGAGCAAAGCTCATTATCATTTAAAGTCATATGCACTAAAACGGCGTGCTGAAAACAGCTGTTTTTGACCAGGTAAAATAAGTGTTTTCTTACAATACTAATGAGAATTTTTAATTAAAGTATATTACAAACTTTTAATTTAGACCCTAAAGAATCATATTAGCTTGTACAAAAATGGCATTATATGACCCCTTTAAACATTATCCGTATCTCATGAAATGGCGTATGTATGACACGCCAATTCGTATTTCCATTTTTGGCGTGCTCTCAACACGCATAATGGCTTTTCAGCGTGTTTATCAACGCCGTTGACTTAACGTTATTACTGTATATAAATATATGACCTACCCCAACCCCGTCCCTAAACCTACCCGCCACTGGGGTTAATACCATTTATGAGTCTTCCCCTACCATCCTAGGAAAAAAAATATCGCTCCCCAGATGTAGATCTACATTTTGCTTCGTTTCGCTCGTACATTTAACGGCGTACACATACACGCGGAATCACTCGGACATTTAACGGCGTAGACATACACGCAAAAGATGACGGTTCGTTTCGGCGTGGACATACACGCGGCCTGCTCAAAATGCGTATAGATAACACGCCACTTGACTTGAAAGCGGCGTGTATGTTTACGCAAAGTCATGATGTCATGTTGTATCTCTTTTGAAAACACTAATGCACAGTCCATAATGCTGAATAATGAAAATGTGTTAAAACACGTAATCACATGACTACTTACGGTCTTGGTCTAGAAACTGATCCAAACCTTCATCTAACGACAAACCATCAAGATCAACTTTAACAAAACGAAACATGGATGTAATCTCCGGCTGACACAGACAGACAGAGAAAGAAACACACAAAAGAACCTTAGTTAAAGAGTGACAATTTCAAAATGAGCCAAAACATTTAATATGTATTGCAGTAAAACTAGATATACAGAGAGCGAAGCATCTAGCGGTCGTTAAAGACTCACCAACTCTGTTCTTGAATCCAAGGGTATTAGGTTGCCCTTTTTAAAACTGCAGTAGCAAAGCAGAAGCATCACCTGTGCACAGATAAATGCACAACATTTAACCTGCATATCATTAAAGGAACAATTCAACCCGAAATTATAATACATGCCTTCCATCTATAATTTTCAGAAGGAGGGGCTTTGTATAAATCAGTGCGTTCCAGACTGACTGTGAATAGAGGAGCTGCTATGGACATTAAAACATGTTATTAACGTATTCTATTACACACAATAAACAAAATAATGAACTTTTAAAATACCAGCATATGACCCCTTTAAAAGTGAGTACATTATGGCTCGATTTATTTGTTTGTTATGCAAACCACTATGATATATTAAAATATTTCAACATTTTAGATGCTACAGACCACCAATATGATCATTTTCATGTTCAAGGGGCCACATCCTAAAATTTTAAAAGACAGCTATATATTCTCATGTATAAAGCCTCAACTCAATTTAAACTAATTTAAATTGGCATAATACACTAGTATAGAGACTATAGTTTCTATTAAAGTGCCCTCTTTAATGCAGTGAATAATATAATTTGTGAATGTAAAATGTCTGCAAAGTTTTAAAGATCAAAGTGCACAAGAGATAAAGTTATTGTCTTCTAAAAGAAAAAAAATCGATTCTGAACTGCCTGAAACGAGTCGTCAGTAATTCCAGTCTCACTTCCTGTTACAAACCCAAGTAACAAATTTGCATAATTCCAGCCTATGGTCTTCATTGGCTGCCTGTGAAAAATGGTTTAAAAATGCCCTCAAATACTTTAGTTGTAGCTGAGACTGTAGTTTGTTTCGTGTTGTCGTCGACATGTCGAGAAAACGCTGTTTTCTGCGCTGCGAATCCACTTCAAAAGATTGAGGACTCACTCGCGCAGGAATTGATACAATAAAACCGACACTATCGTGACTGTTTGTAACGCTGTGTATATACAGTAAGTGCTGAGGAAGATCCGGAGCTAAAATTCTGATATTGTGACGGCTGTTTCATTTTCCGACATGTGCTGCAAGCGGTAAACCAATCACAACAGACTGAGCCATCTGACCAATCAGAGCAGAGCAGGCCCTCAGATGGGAGGAGTTAAGAGACTGAACCTTCGAACAAACCATTTTCAGACTCTTTGAGAAATGAGGTGATGTACAATGTATATTATGAGAAAATTGATTGTGTTTTTTGACCTTTGATGCATGTACGGTAAATCTATTGAAATTAGGAGCCTTTAAAATAACACAATAGGGACATTTTCAGTTACATTTTATTAGGTATTTTCTTCTACACAGTATAGTACAGTATTGTTAGATGTAGTATTTATCATAATCTAATTGTTTACTTTAATTACATTTTATTAGATAATATTTTAATCAATATCTAATATTTATTTTAATCAATTTATTGTCATCTATTTAATATAATAATACATTTTATTATTTTTTATTCATTTAGTTTGAAACCTCCTGATTTAGAGCACAAATACCTTGGCCAGCTGGAGCTCCAGGTCAATCCCATGATTGATTTTCTGTAAGATGAGGAAACTTTGTCTTTTGGTGAGGTAAAATTTATCTGCATATGGAAAAGAGAAAGTTTTAAACAAGTTCTTCTTACCTTAAATTCTAAATGCTTGGAAATTTTTTTTTAGTTTTTTAAATAAATGAAAAAACATTTGTGCACATCAATCTGGCAAACATTACAGTTATGACCGATGTTGAGATTTAAAAATTTAAATAGCCCAAATTACTTTTAATGTAAGTGCCGTACCACAACCACATTTTTATAAATGAGTGACAAGTAAAAGCATTTTCTGCGTTAACCAACATTTTTGACACAAATACTGGTAATAGAGCATAATGTCACTACTAATAAAATAAAATGTTTCTCATTAATTTCTCAATGTCTACGATAAATCAACTAAAACTACAGATGTGGTACAAGCATGAAATTGTAGAAAGAAAGACACGAGCACTGATTTAAAACTCACCATGCAAATCACTGAAGATGATTTTCAATTTCTCATCCAGGGATAAAGTCTTTAAAACCTCAATGTTCTCCTCCCCGTTTCTACAGTAATGGATGAGGCAAATTATGTCGCAAATTATCATGGCATTTCCATATGACCATCTCAAAATGACAACTCACAGTTTGCCGAAGATCTCCAGGAGTCGGACCCCATCTCTCATATGAGCGAACTCCCAGATTGGCTTCTCAGGAAACATGGCATTCATCTGTCAAAAGGACAACCGTCAATATTAAGATCTCTTGAAACTTTACAGAGGAAACATTTTAGTTGTTAAAACTATAAAACAGACATTACAACGTTAAACATGACAATAGATTCAAATAACTACCCAGACAGCAACATAGTGTCGGCTCACATCAGGGTCCGATTTCACAAAGATAGACTTTGACTATGTTTGTTGTGAAACCGGGCCCTGGTATGCGTGGAATCCACATGTGCCAGATGTGGCCCGGATCTGGGCTGACACCATGTTGCTGTCTGTCATTATTCTCTCAATTTTTTCTTGAGTAAAGAAACCAAAATGATATATGTAAGTTCTGTACATCTGTGGATGACACACAGTAGAATTTAAGCAATACTTTGTGAGTTTTTTTTTTTAATCACTTTTAAACAAAAAATATTACTTAAAATTCTGTATGAAATCCAAAAGAAACACATTTGTGTGTTTGTGTCAACATGCATTAAAATGAGAGAACTGTCTTACCCATATCAAAAGTGGTCCCGCCTTGTTCCTATTGAACTTCATGGTGGACTCTATAAAACATTTAAAATCCGTTGTAATGAAACCAGCAAGATGTCATACAGATTACGAAGTGTGCGTGCTTGATGTTTACACTTATGTTGTTAAATCTACTTCTGTGTAACAGATACTGTAACAGCACAAAGAGAAAAATTTTTCAAGGACATAGCATGACATTTGATTATTTTAATCATAATAAACAAAACTCAAACCTTTGATACATAACGTTATCCGTAAACTTTAGTGCACATAACAGCCTTAATATGACATGCAGTGCAATTAAACACGAATATAATTAACGTTAGCATTACAGTATAATTATGTTCAACCAGTAAGTTCTTGCTTTGTTTGTTTGTTTACCCTGCAGCGTTTTGTCCGCGTACATTACCAATGTTTAAACAACACATCGACCGTGGCAGAAATACTGTCCTCATCAAACAACCAAAAAGCTGAATAAACTTGTATATTAATGAATTGTGTGTTTTACCGTGATTTCGGGTTAAGTCGAAGCAAAGACGCACATCGAATCCTTCACTGAAACATTTTCAAATTCAAAACTCACAACGTCGAACTGTATCTGAACAGCTATTGGTCATCACGTGATGACGCAAATCAAAGTAGCCAATGAAAGCGCAGCTTCTTCCGCAACGCCCTTGTAGGAAGTCTTTCAAAATGTTCCATTTCAGAATGAAATACATCTCCCAGAATGCAATACTACACGCGTTGTTTCCATGGTAACTTTGTTGCGGTCCGCCCATGCTGGCGTGACCCTAACTTGCTATGATTAAAGAACACCTAAAATTACGACAACGGTGACGACAATTTAGAAAATTATTCGTTTATTATGTGTTTACATTTTAATTGTAACTCTATGTAAATCCTTTTTTTTGCTTCATGCACTTAAACTTCGTTTCAAGATCAATCAGTGTTTGTAACGTTACTCTTCCATCTGATTGGTATTTGTAGTTTTTAATCTTGTTTTCTGAAGCCTGGGGGTTTGAACATGTTTGGATCTCCGGTGGACTTTTCTTTTAAAGAGATCAACACAATTCCAGGTGTGTTTCTACGGTACATACTTTTATATATTTGTATGAAAGTTTTGCTTATATCACACTTATTAGTTTTTAGGTCAGAATTCATTTTCTGCTGATTCAACATTATAAATGCATTTTATTTCCCGAAATGGGGAACGTTTTCGAGTGAAACAAAATAGAACAGAAAGTTCAGAAAACAAAAATATGCAATAACGAGTCCTTCCTTTGAGTCGGATCTTTCCAATGAATCGGTTCAACCGGTTCACAGAATCGGTCCGAGCGGTTTTGACTGATGGTGGGAAACCTCACACATTAAAAACAAAATAGTTTTAAAAAATATATAATTTTACATATAACATTATATACATGGGCTGTATATATATAACATTACAAAATATTTATATTTCATATAAATGCAGTTCTTAGGAAACTTTCTATTCATCAAAGAATCCTGGGGGGATTTTTTTTTTTACATTAATTGTAATCAGAAATGTTTCGTGAGCAGCAAATCATCATATTAGACTGATTTCTGAAGGATCACGTGACACTGGAGTAATGATGCTGAAATGAATCACTAGAATAAAAATAATTAAAAAAAAGTATTCAAATAGAAAACAGTTATTTTAAATCCTAATGATATTTCACAATATTACTGTTTTTGGATCAAATAAATGCAGCCTTGGGAAGCAGAAGAGACTTCTTTCAAAAACTTTATATGGAAATGTGAAGAGGTTAAAGTAATTTATTACTCCTCCTCAGAAAGAACATGTATACACAAATTATTATCAGTCTGCATCTATGTGCACAATTATTGATTGCAGTGTGTTGCGTTTCCTCTAAAGCATTATTAACTTTCTTTCTTTCCATCCCTTTTTCTTCAGACATTCTTTCTGATGTGCCGAATCCAGGCGCTCTTCGGCTGAAGCGCGACTCAGAGCAGAAGTTCCTCAGCCGGACGCTCAGACTCAACAACAACTTCATCTCAGGCTTGTCGGGTCTGACGGACACGATCTCTGCTCTGTTTGCTGAGCCGACACGTCTGGCCTGGCTCGACCTCTCCTTCAACGACATTGAACACATTGACCCAGTACGCACTTACCCACCTGTGTCTAGCAGAACCGTTTGTGTGTAACTGAGGCGTGCAGATTGTGTACTGTATACTAGAGGATCTACGTTCACATGTCATTCTCTCTCTTTCCGTCAGGTCCTCACTCAACTTAAAGAGTTGCGTTTGTTGTATCTCCATGGAAATCGTATTTGTAAGTTGTTGGAAGTGGATAAACTTACTGTGCTGCCGTCCCTCCATACCATCACTCTGCACGGCAACCCCATAGTGACCGAGCCTGACTACAGGTATGGTTCAAGGTCAAAGGGCAGTTAGATGCACAATCAGGGCCTAAAACTAACTTTTTGCCACACCTGCCAATGGCCAAGAAAATGTACCAGGCATAAATATTTTTTTACCGGTCATGAAAATGTTTTTGCTAAAACAGGCAGTAATTACACCAAAATTTTAGATACCAGTGAAAATTCGCAATTCTCTATTCTAACTTCGATACCACAGCTTAAAGTACTAGCCTTACTAATATAAATGTAAAACATTATTAAAGACAAGTAAACAATCAGTAATAAAATAAGACAAATAATCATATTACAAGCAAAAGCACAAATAAATACAATGTAACAAAGATGTTGTAGGTCTAGCAGTAGTTTTTAGCTAGCGAAATGTAATAAAGTGATCAAATGTAAGATAACACTGCATAGTCTTCACTGTATGAATTAAACATCCTTATTAATGCAATGCTTATTAAAGTTACAAAGGTAATTCAGTCAAGAGCAGTGAGTGATTTTTTTCTTTGTCCAACATTAAAAACACACAGGAATATTAGGCTGCTGTCACTTTAAGAGTGAATGCACGGATCCAATATGCTGATACACATGCGTTTACTTTCTCAACTGTTAACGTTCACTTAAGACATAACCGACTATGTTATAGAATACTCGCTATCTTTTGACATAATTGTGTGTGAAATTGTCCGCTCAAGTGCAAGAAGACGTGAAAGAGCTCAGTTTAGTATTCACACTCTCTCAGAGACGCGGCTTTCTGAGCGAGCGCTTCGGATGTGTGCGCACAAAACTTTCCACACAGCGCGCGAATAACGAAATGAGCTCCCTTCGCGTCTTCTTGGGCTTGAATATTTAAATTGTCAAGGCTTAAACTTTCGTGATGATGCAGCGCGGGCCCGTCAACTGTACCGAGCGTCATTCACATTTGTTAATGTTCATGCATTGTTAGAATTCATAAAGATGTTACCGGCAAACTGGTGAGTGACACCGTTTCATACTCGCCAATGCTGTCTTTTACTCGCATTTGGCGAGTGTTCATTTTAGGCCCTGTGCAATTCAGGGAGCAAAAATGAAAAATTCTGTCCTCATTTTTCACCCTCAAGTCGTTCCAAATCTGTTTGACTTATTTTGTTCTGTGCAACTCAAAAGTTCAAAAGAAAGCAAGCAGCATGACACGACTGATGGCGAGTTGATAAGAGCTCAGTACAGCGTTCATGCAGTAAACACATCTTGCTGTATCTGAACTGTGATTTTCCACTGTGGATCTCTGTACAACAGGTGCTAAAATGCGGTTAGTATCCAGTTACAAACGTCTGCTGTCCTGTGCACAGCAACAGCAATCACAAATAGTTCTGATACACACGCGGCATGTGTTAAGAGTAAGACCTTTCCCAGCCCATGGTCTATAATCAAGGACATGTCCAGGTCTGGTCTCACCTCACAATCAAATAGAAAGAAATAAGACCATATATGTTGCACAACAAAGCCTATTTTATGCACCTTGCATTGAAAGTATGTTTTAACGTCAAGCACATGTAACATTACCGTAATGCGAAAACAAAATATTTATACATCATGGATTTATTTGTTGTACTTCCATTAATTAATGAAAAATGTAATTAAAAACAAGTGTAATGAAACTGTTAAAATCTTGATTTTGGGGTCAAATTCGTGGGACCGTGGTGGTGTTCGTTTATAGACTTTTTACTTCAGGCGACTGCATTTAAGCTTCAAAATTCATAAACGTTGTGTTCATCTGTGATAATTATCTTGATGGACAAAACGTGAAAGTATCATAAACTTTTGTTGATCACAGAGCTTGTTTTTAGCGATAATCCAACAGCCTATGGGAAAATCCTATGGGTTTTTGTCGAGTGATGCTAACTGTCGATTGGCTTAAAGGTATAGCGGAGGATTTTCTTTTTCCGGGTGGATCATCAAGACTATTGGTCCTCCTAGTTGTCAATCATTCTGGTGATATTCATGGTTATGAAAAAGCTGTCTGAGGATAAGCTGGTTTTACTACTTAAGTGAAAAAAACAGCATTTAAGGGAAATCTTAAATGTTTTAGACGTTTCACTTAAAGAAACCCTTAAGTAATAATTTTTGTAAAAATTGGAGAGGGCGGGTCTTCTCTAAAATTCGGAAAGATCCTCCGCTATACCTTTAAGTCACTCACTTCAGTGAGTCTTAAGTCTTCAGTTCACTTAATGGCCACCGGTGTCGCTAATAACAAGGGCTTCTGAATTCTACACACAGACCCTTTAACAAAGGTGGTTTACAAACGGGACCTTATTGTAAAGTGTTACCAATTTCTCAGTGTTGAATTGCTCAGAATTGTGTATAAAATCACAGACAAATGTTCAGTATATATTTAGTGATTATTCCACTAAGTTGCTTTTCTGCCTCTCTTCCTAGGGCACATTTGATCGCCACCCTTCCTCATGTGAAGATGATTGATTTCAGTGCAGTGACCAAACAGGAACGAGAGTTGACTTCAGTTTGGCAAAAGAGCAGAAACCCGCGCAAATTCACGAGTCAAAGCAAAGTGGACTGAGCCTTCCTCCTCCGACACCCTGTCATGTTACAGACGGCTTGGCTTTATGTCTAATAAACATGAATGTTTATTAGCAACAGTTTGATCTACCACAGTTAAGTTGCCTTTACTATAACCTCGTCCTGAACCGTATAATGGTTGCAGGGCTGGAGTTACTTTAGTCAACTAGAGTGTTTCTTCATTAGTTGATGATGAAGCCACATGGATAAGTGGTGAAACATCTTAAGCAACAGAGAAACGTCCACTAAACAAAGCAATCTAGAAGCGTTGCATGCAAGACAGTGAATGAACAAAATATTCTCATTGTACTCGCCACCAATGTATGTCTGCACATTCAATAAAATAATACTTTACAATTTTGAAAGTCTTTAATGCATAATTTCATTCAACAAAACAGTATTAACAGAATATTGAGATTAAATTTTTGGTACTAGCCTAAGAAACGAGATCTCTGTAAATCAGGTAGTATTCCACATTTAGGATAACAAACAAACAAACTTGAACACTTATTAGTTCACTGCAAAAAAAAAGAAGAAAAAAAGAAGCCATCTTGAGTTTTGCAGCGTATTTTATCCCTTTAAAAACCTCAAAGAAAGAGAAATGTGCCTTGCGACGATCTAGAGAGCCAATGGTGCCACACCGTCTGTATGCGTGCAAAAATACATAAAATCAAAAATAAATAATTACACAAACATACTGTGTGGCATTTCAAACTCGGTCAAGAAAGAATGGCAGTTCACTAGTGCTTTCCTCGGTATTCGGCACAACAGAAAAAAAACAAACAGTTTGACTATGTTAAAGCAACTGCATAATATATTTTTAATTGTTTTTATTACATTAAAAGTGGAACAGGCAAGGTAAAAGTGTCCCTGTTTGCTTAGCTAAAAACAAGCCACTGATCGAGAAGCCTTACAACTAAGGCATAATACAGCCAGGGGGCGCCGTAGAGCCGTTTACGCTTCCCGCTAATCATTCTTCTTGAATCATTTTACACTTTGTACATTAAAGGCATTGACACAAAAACTGCCGTCCCACCGGAACCATTCAAACCCACCGCCCCATCCAAACCTCTCCGATTCGACGGCATGTTTATTTGTTAGACGGGCCTCACTGCCCTGGCTCGGTTTAACCAGCGCCCGTAGTTTCTGATATGACTGCCGGACAGTAAAAGAAACCCTTTCTCCTTTCCCTTCAGTCACAGAAGCGCCGCTTTAAAGGATTCAAAACCTCGCCGCAAATTAACCGGTGTTATTGATATGACATGGCGCGGCACGTCACTTGTTCTGTTATATTTACACTCCGCCATGACATGGCAAATGGAGAAAAATAATGCTGACTACTTAAAAATGCGAATTAACCAGGTCTAAAGTTGCAGGACATCCCATACTTTGAGTAGGTAACAGTAATAGACTCAACCGGTAATCAATTTGATTGACTTTTAAGAAAATCATTCACACAAAACAAGAGCGTTCTGCTTCCAATGAAGAATTAAAATAAAAAGTAAAAGGGTTACGTGTGTTACTCTGGTTAGACAGAGGAATTATTTACGCATGTTGCCCATATTCATCAGCATCCTTGAAACACAGTGCATACATTTATGGGATTTAATTAGGATTAATGAACTCTAAACCACAGTGATTCCAGAATCATACAGGCGAACGAATGTATTACGTGCAGAATGATGCTGAACCACAGCATGTGTGTTAAGACGACCCAGCCGAACTGAGTAAAACTAGTACAAGTATAAGAATAATTGTGAAGTCTGGATGTGCTATTGGTTTAGTAATGTCTTACCAACTGAAAATCCAACAGAAAAAGCAACAAGAAGAACAGATTAAACTAAAATATGCAATCGTAGCAGCTTGACACGACTGTCGAGTTGTAAAACGTTTGATTAATGCATGAACACACCTGAAGATCTACCGGTAACTGATCAAACTCGTCACAGAAACCGCTGGGATCAGACGGTTTCCCCCTCTCGGATCTGAGCTGCGGCCCTGAAGGATCTCGGGTGACGGATTTACACAAAGAGCTCTGGTTGGGGTGAATTGTATTTATCTGCATATCAAGAAGTTTGGGAGGAGAACAGAGGAGTGAAAAGGGCCAGAAAGAGAGACAGAAACAGAGAATTTGGGGAGGACAGGGTCCATTTTTTGAATCATGGTATAGCAAACTGCACCACCAGCTCTTCCTTGGCATCTACTTTGATTTGTGAGATGGCGCTGTAGGCGTACGCAGCGATCTTAGAGACCTGAGGAGGAAAGAGCACAGTAAATCACACAAAACACTGAACAAAACATGTACAGTGAATTCCAGTGCATTAATGTGCAATTAATGTTCTTAAATTCTTCATTTATATACACACTATTGTGAATATAAATACAGCAGTGTGACCCTGTATGGTCAGAAAGAGTTTTATTCAGCAAGGATGCATTACATTGATAAAAAGTGACATTTATAATGTTACAAAAGATTTCACTTTCAAATAACTGCTGTTCTTTTGATTCATCAGAGAATCCCGAACAAAAATGTATCACCGTTTCCACAAAAATATGAAGCAGCACAACTGTTTTAAACACTTTCTTGAGCAGCAAATCAGCATATTATGATGATTTATGAAGGATCATGTGACACTGAAGTGCCTTCCAAGGAATGTCTTTGTATATTTGCATATAATATACTTGTAAGGCTAGTCTTAGCGGTTTATGCAACTGGAGGCCAGTTGCATAAACCGCTTAAGGCCTGTTCACACCGGGACGAATTTCGCACGCGATATTCGCCAACGTTTAACGCCTCGTGACTAAACAAAGGGCGCCAATGTGAGTGTGCACACCGACACGAAAAACGCCACGCGTAAAAGCGTCATTTAAAAAAAAAACGCCTCGGGTTCGTTTTTTTGGTTTGACGCGCCGCGTACAAAACTATCCGACCAATGAGATTGGCGCTTTTGCTCACGTGTCTGGAGCTTCTGAAGTTACAGTAAAACACAACTTGGGGGCGCTCAAACACAAAACGGTCTTGCCGAGCACACATACGTAACGGCGAAGAAGATGTCCGCCAAGTAGCGTCTACACCATAGACAGGTCTACACTGCCGGGAAGAAATAAGACGAGGAAGATGCAAGGCAAGATGAATGTAGAGCTGCTGGTCTCGTTGGTGTCGGAACATAAAGAACTATATGACAAACGCCACAGCGACTACAAAATAGGACTATTTCTGTTTTACATTAAGCGCCATCTAATGTCAGGTAATGAATTTGCATGTTCACTCGGCTCATCGTCAGCGAAAATCGCTTGGGTGTGAACACAAAAAACGCGTTGAAAAACGCTGACGAATAACGCGCGCCGATATTCGTCCCGGTGTGTACGGGGCTTAAGACTAGCCTTACAAGTTAAGCATCAGTTGTTTGTATGTCATCAGGTGATAGGGTGATTTGATAACGTGAATCTGACCTGCTGTACATCTGCGTAGGGCACCAGGTCAGCGGCGAGCACCTGGTGAGGTTGGCTGGTCAATGACGGGAGAGGAACCGGCTTCTTCTGAGACAGCGTTCTGCTCAACACCTCCAGCTTTGTGCTTTAACATAAACACACACCATTTAAAATGCACTACTCAGGAAACTTTAACAAATGGTTAACAGTAGCGGCGGTTTCACACATACTCTGTGTTGTGGTGCGTTTGCGGCGCTATTCTGCTTCACACGTGCTGCGTTTGCAGTGCGCAACTGATCTACGGCTGTACCAAACACAACATTTATCCTCTATTTCTTATTTTAAATCACTATTTTTATGATCAGCGTCTTTTATAAAATAATATTAAAAAGTTACAGCATATAGCTTTCACATTTAAAAAAATGTATTAATGCATTAGGCCTACTTCTATATAGATTTGTGCGTTCAGTTGCTCAAGCAAGTGGCAAAACATTTAAACATGTACCTATGTTAACATCGCAAACATTTAAAATGAAAACTAAATGAATACAATTGACAAAAACAGCTCTCTCTCATACCTTTTCTTTTGTATTTAAATCTTTTTTTACAAGAAATATTGTGGGTCACAAAGAACTTGTTTTTCCACCTCCACGAAGAGACGTCCATTATGTCACGTTGTTGAGGTACTGTGTAGTTTTCCTTGCTTTAATTACCTCGGGCTTAAAGGGATAGTTCACTTTGAAATGAATTTTTGGTATGTTTTAGCTTACCTCAAGGGCATCCAAGATGTAGGTGTCTTTGTTTCCGCAGTAGTTTCAATTTTGATATTTTTAGGTCAAACCGTTCTTGTCTGTCAGTCATATAATGCAGGTCTATGGTCACCTTTATGGTCACCTATGCACCTTTCCGCAAGCGCCGGAAAGGTGACCATAGACCTGCATTATATGACTGACAGACAAGAGCGGTTTGACCTAAAAATATCAAAATTGAAACTACTGCGGAAACAAAGACACCTACATCTTGGATGCCCTTGAGGTAACCTAAAACATACCAAAAATTCATTTCAAAGTGAACTATCCCTTTAAAGTTTTTTTAAAAAAAAATGACTGTGAAAAATAGTAGTATAATTTAATTAAATGCATTTATGGTGAGATTACTATATTTTAATGTCAATCCGTGTTCATTTAGACCACGAACCACGATCTCAGCACTGCTGTATCCGCACCACTCCTGGAACGCATCCGCACTGCAAACGCAGTATGTGTGAAACAGGCGTTACAGTATTTTCCCTTGTTAAAGGGACAGTTCACCCAAAAATGAAAATTCTGTCATTCATTTCTCACCCTCATGTCGTTCCAAACCCGTGAGATAGATAGATAGATTGTTTTATTTAATGTCATGTCAGCATCTAAGGCTATTTTAATAGCAAAAATTCAATTACAAAAATACAAATATCATATAAATACAATAAAACCAAGCTAACAACACAAGTCATTTTATATATATTTTTTAATTAACATATGATAAAAAAAATCCAAAACCTTTTCAGGCATAATCTTACTAAATAAGTGAAATAACTTCATAAAAGAGCATTCTACTTGTATTATGCCCAGGACAGTCCAATAAAATGTTTAACAGAGAGGAGAATCCTACAAAACATGCAAAAAGTTGTGTCTTCCCCTTTAAGTCAAACTTGTATGGCCTTTATGACATCTGGTGAATACCACTCGATCAGATCTAGTTTTAAGAGGAATTAAAAAGTCTGTTTTCCAAACCTGTAAGACTTTCGTTCATCTTCGTAACACAAATGAAGATCTTTTTGATGAAATCTGAGCCATTTCTGTCCCTCCATTGACAGCTACGCAACTACCACTTTCAAGCCCCAGAAAGGTAGTAAAGATATCAAAGTAATCCATGCGACTCCAGTGGTTTGACCTCAATTTTATGAAGCAACATGAGCGCTTTTGTTTGTGCAAAAAATCTTAATTTACCACTTTATTTACTAAATTCTCTCCAATCTCCAATGCGAGTTCATGCAACAACATCTGCTCTCATGTTAACGCAATACACATGCGCCAAAATTATGACTTTGATAGGATACTCGACTAAAATACCTTGATGCAGATACCAAACCGATACCACGGCAAAAAAACTAAAACAGTAAAACTATTTCAATAATATGGCAGAACTTAAAATTCATTGTTTTATAAATTAATTTAAAAAACTAACTTGACCTGCCCTGCTTTTAGACCATTCTCTCCTCTTAGTATGAACGTCCTTACAGAGATGTTTGCAAAGTTTACATTATTAACATTCGCAAAACTTTCACAGTAATAAAAAAAAAAAATTATAATCAAAATATACACTCACCGGCCACTTTATTAGGTACACCTGTCCAACTGCTCGTTAACACTTAATTTCTAAGCAGCCAATCACATGGCGGCAACTCAGTGCATTTAGGCATGTAGACATGGTCAAGACAATCTCCTGCAGTTCAAACCGAGCATCAGTATGGGGAAGAAAGTTGATTTGAGTGACTTTGAACGTGGCATGATTGTTGGTGCCAGAAGGGCTGGTCTGAGTATTTCAGAAACTGCTAATCTACTGGGATTTTCACGCACAACCATCTCTAGGGTTTACAGAGAATGGACCGAAAAAGAAAAAACATCCAGTGAGCGGCAGTTCTGTGGGCGGAAATGCCTTGTTGATGCCAGAGGTCAGAGGAGAATGGCCAGACTGGTTCGAGCTGATAGAAGGGCAACAGTGACTGAAATAACCACTCGTTACAACCGAGGTATGCAGCAAAGCATTTGTGAAGCCACAACACGCACAACCTTGAGGCGGATGGGCTACAACAGCAGAAGACTCCACCGGGTACCACTCATCTCCACTACAAATAGGAAAAAGAGGCTACAATTTGCAAGAGCTCACCAAAATTGAACAGTTGAAGACTGGAAAAATGTTGCCTGGTCTGATGAGTCTCGATTTCTGTTGAGACATTCAGATGTTAGAGTCAGAATTTGGCGTAAACAGAATGAGAACATGGAACCATCATGCCTCGTTACCACTGTGCAGGCTGGTGGTGGTGGTGTAATGGTGTGGGGGATGTTTTCCTGGCACACTTTAGGCCCCTTAGTGCCAATTGGGCATCGTTTAAATTCCACGGCCTACCTGAGCATTGTTTCTGACCATGTCCATCCCTTTATGGCCACCATGTACCCATCCTCTGATGGCTACTTCCACCATGTCACAAAGCTCTAATCATTTCAAATTGGTTTCTTGAACATGACAATGAGTTCACTGTACTAAAATGGCCTCCACAGTCACCAGATCTCAACCCAATAGAGCATCTTTGGGATGTGGTGGAACGGGAGATTCGCATCATGGATGTGCAGCCGACAAATCTGCGGCAACTGTGTGATGCCATCATGTCAATATGGACCAAACTCCATGAGGAATGCTTCCAGCACCTTGTTGAATCTATGCCACGAAGAATTGAGGCAGTTCTGAAGGCAAAAGGGGGTCCGACCCGTTACTAGCATGGGGTACCTAATAAAGTGGCCGGTGAGTGTAGTTATTCATTTTAACTTTATCTTTGTTGTTAAAACTAAGCAAAAGTGCAAATTACAAACAACATGACATACGTTGTGGAAATTACGGTTCGCGTACCAACCCCGAAGTGATAAAATAAAATACTGTATCAAAATGTATAGGCAAGAGAAGTAGTTTGTTTAGGCATGGTTTGTAGGGAATTACAAACCTGCGCACACATATTCAAACGCACATAACTATACGATCAATTCTTAATGCGAATGTGAACGCCGTCAGCGATCATCTTAGCGGCCCCTAATTTAATAACAAATGATCATTTCAACAGAAGTGAATCAATCAAAACTAACTTTAGCTGGAAAATAACATTATTCAAGAACCGCTATAAAACCAAACCAATCTGTTACCTTAAATTATATGTTTATCTCTGTAAAGCTGCTTTGAGACAATCTACATTGTTAAAAGCGCTATATAAATGAGAATGACTTGACTACTATATAAGAAAGACACAAATGAGATAAACAGTGCATTTACAGATTAAACAGATTTAACAGTAGCATTTAAGAAATTAAATCAAATGTGAAAAAAAAAGAAAAAAAAACACACTGGAAACTCTTCACTCTATAAATTAACTATACGCTGAATCATAATAAATATATTCAAGTTATTCAGTCAAGCATTGAGTGTTTTTATTTCTATTCTTGTTTCTTTTTTGATAAACATTCTTCACACAGACAGAATAGCATGCTGTCATTCTTAAAGTATCGGTACTAGTAACAATTTGTATCGTACCGTTTTTAATAGCAGGGTATCGTAATTGTACAAAACACACATGCGTCGTGCTTCTCTCGTGAACGAGCGTTGCATATTAATATTTTGTAAATAAAGTGGTAAATTGTGTTTTTTGCACAAAGCATTAATGCCGCTTCATAAAATTTAGGTTAAACCACTGGAGTCACATGGATCACTTTAATGACGTCTTTACTACCGTTCTGGGGCTTGAAAGTGGTAGTTGTGTAGCTGTCAATAGAGGGACAGAAATCTCTCAGATTTCATCAAAAAGATCTTCATTTGTGTTACGTTGATTTTTGGCTGAAGTAACCCTGTAATTTATTTCAATTTGAACCTAAAACACTGATGTTGTTAAGAAAGTTGGTTACACTTTATTTCGATAGTCCACTTTAGGTTTCCTACTAACTAGAAGTACACTGCAAAAATGTTTTCTTACTTACTATTTTTGTCTTGATTCCAGTCCAAATATCAAAAAATTCTTACATCAAGATGTATTTACTAGATGAGTAAAATGCCATAAGATATTATGTCCGGTTTTTCCGGGGAATTAATCAAAAATAAGTGAGTTTTTGCTTTAAAAAAAAAGCAAAATGATCTGCCAATGGGGTAAGAAAGACAGTGTTAATTCAAACAGAAACTAGATTTTTCTTACCCCATTGGCAGATCATTTAGCTTGTTTTTAAGCAAAAACTCACTTAATTTTGATTCATTTCCCCAGAAAACAAGACTTATCTTATGTCATTTTTCTACTTTAGAAAATGCATCTTGATTTAAGAATTGTTAGATATTTGGACTGGAAACATAAGAAAAATACTAAGTAAGAAAAGCATTTTTTGCAGTGTACCTTTGCAACTACGTGTCAACTAACTCTCATTAGAGTATTCGTAGACTGTTAGGGTTTGAGTTAGTAGGATAAGTTGACATGTACTTGCAAAGTTACTTCTAGTCAGTACTTATACTTATAGTCACTGACAGTCTGTTGTGGGAGCAATAAATTAAAGTGTTAGCAGATATTAGGCAGACAGTCTACTAATACTCTAATGCCTGCATGTACGGTAGTTGCAAAGTTACTTATAGTTAATAGAAGTGGACATTTGAAATAAAGTTTTACCAAAAAAGATGTTCCACATCTAGCGTTGCAAGGTTATTTAGGTAACAAACAATCTTGAACACTGTTAGTACACCGTAATAGAAAACATCTAGCGTATTTCATCCCTATAAAACACTCAAAGAAGAGAAACGTGACTTGTGCTGATCTAGAGTCTACTGTACATCAATGGCATTTGAGAACAGCAAACACGCACCTGTACTGTCTGGCTTTGTCCATGTATTCATGTTGCTCCATGCCTTGAGAATCCACAGCCGACACGTCAATTATGTTCCTACCCAAGAGAAAAAGAAAAGGTTTTCATCTACCAACAGCCCTAACTGCAAAAAAAAAAAGCTGTGCACTGCAAAACATGCTTTTCTTACTTAGTATTTTTGTCTTGTTTCCAGTCCAAATATCGAAAAATGAAGATGCATTTACTAAAGTAGTAAAAGGCCATAAGATATTATGTCTTGTTTTCTAGGGAAATAAATCAAAATGAAGAGAGTTTTTAAGCCTGGGAAAACCCAGACAACTTCCGGCAAATTTAGATTTGCTCTGAAAGTTAGTCTGGCAAAGAGCTCATTCAAGCCCATTTCCAATCCGCCGAAATCGCGGCACCAATCAGAAACGTTGGGGCGGGCTTTACACGATGACGACAGCGCTGGGATTTTGAAGCAGATTTTGTAGCCTACATTACAAAGATGGATGCCGCCGTCGAACATCACTCGTTCCAATCAGCTATCGCGTCTGTTTTAAGCGATTTGAACGTTTCCTTTTAGTTAAAAACCGAGCAAAGAACAACACTCGGAGATGTTTCTCCGCCGCTCTGCATACGTCATCTCCTTCATCGCTCTGATTGGTTTTAGGTCTATCCACGACGTCCGTTGGTGACGCCCCTCTGGAAATGATTTGTCTATGACGCTTTGCCAGACCATAACTCAGTTACAACTGAGAATGGTCTGGTTTTAAAGGTCCCATTCTTCGTGATTCCATTTTTCAAACTTTAGTTAGTGTGTAATGTAGCTGTTAGAGCATAAATAATACCTGTAAAATTATAAAGCTCCAAGTTCAATGCCTAGCGAGATATTTTATTTAACAGAAGTCCACTTTCAAAGCCTACAGCGAACGGCCGGTTTGGACTACATCCCTCTACTTCCGTTTTTAATGACGTAACTAAAACAGTTTTTTGAATAACTAAAACAGTTTTTTGAATAATCTCTGCCCACGGGAATACACAAAAAAGGGGGCGTTGTCTTGTTGCGCTCCACGGTGAAGAGGAAGAGTTTCGTTTGTAGAGTGTGTTTGTCGCCATGTCGTCGAGACACTGTTATTTTCATGCCGGAGTCAATTCACCTGTGTCTGGCCTTCCCAGGGACGCTGTGCTTAGAGATCAATGGTTACAATTTATGTTAAACTCGGTTCCCGAAAATGTGCGCATGCATCTCCACGTTATGGTAAGAGGCGTGACCTTTCCGGGCAACGTGCGCTAAGCTGCTGTCGAATCACAACACAGGAACCGCTGGCCCAATCAGAACTCGTGACGTGTTTCTGAAGGAGGGACTTCATAGAGCAAGGAAGTCATCAGCCCGTTTTTTGGACAGTGAAAACAGCGGTATACAGATAAGTAAATTGTGTGAAAAATACTGTGTTTTTTTACATGCGAAACATGACCACATGTTATATTGCATACTGTAAACACAATCAAAGCTTCAAAAAACATGAAGAACGGGACCTTTAACCAGGCTAGAGAGTTTTCGCTTAAAACAAGCAAATTTATCTGCCATTGGGGTAAGAAAAATAATCCTAATTCAAACAGAAACAAGATCACAAGAAACAAGATTCTTACCCCATTGGTAGATAATTTTGCTTGTTTTAAGTAAAAACTCACTTCATTTTGATTTATTTCCCTAGAAAACAAGACATAATAACTTATAGCCTTTTACTACTTTAGTAAATGCATCTTGATTTAAGAATTTTTCGATATTTGGACTGGAAACAAGACAAGCCAGAAGTCAGAAGAGCATGTTTTGCAGTGTGCGCTACATGAGGACAGTGTGTAGTGTGTCGTACAGGGCTGTGCGCTGCAGGATGACCGTGAGCAAGGCCTGCTCATCTGTGCGGTTGGACGAGAGGCTGTCTGCGTTTCGCTCCGAGCCATTGGTGGGTTTTCGGTCCAGGTTTGGGTCAGGAATCAATGGCCTCACCTCGTCATTCTTCTGCACAAAAGAGTCAAGAGGTCAAAAGCATGATCACTGAAAGACCACTTTTTAAAGGCGGCAACACTATGTGATGATAGTAATGTCAGTGCCAATATGTCTGCAGCTTTTGATTCCATTTAACATTTCAATGATATTTATGAATCTTACTCTAAAACCTAAATGCTGCAAGGTTTTCAAAATAAAGGGATGTTTAACGACATCAAATGTTTTGTAAAAATCAACAATAAAAAATTAGAAACCTACTCCCTTGAACCACATCACTATGATCGAGTGATAACATGTCACCCGTCAGCAAGTTTTTACATTTAGAAGTGAAACAAAATTGACTTGACTTTAATCCCAGGGTGCTTCAGGTATGACTGAACCTGTCATACGTATACTGTAAGTTACTCTGGATAACAATATCTGCTAAATTACTTCCTCCATCATATTCCCAGACTCTCCAACTACTTACATCACGTAACCAAACTCAAACCCGCCCAGAAATGATTGATTTATACAAAGAATACATTTCCAGTTTCCACTGCTTGTTAGGGAATCATGTATAAAGATCAGAGGTGTAAAAAGTACCTGAAAACCACTTGAGTAAAAGCACAGATACCTTACAGCGACTCATTACAAGTCACCGATTTCAATACACCTTTAGTAAATGTCTTAAAGTAGTACCTGGTATTTACTTAAGTATTTACCCATACTAAATGTAGGCTCAAAGATGCACTAGTCCTCAACACCTGAGAGACTTACCAGTGAAAAACAAGAAACTGTTGGTTTGTGAGGAGAGCAATCACATGTTTATTTTCTAAAATCAAAATAAAACTGAACACCTTGAAATTGCAATAAATCAAGGTCGACACAACAGCCTCTTAAACGCCAACACAGGCTCAATCTCAGTTAAGATCAAGTGCTTAAAAAGGGCATAGAAATACAATGTCTCTTCGATATGACAGATACATAAAACAATGCTGAGTAAAATTAAATAGTCAAAGCCCACTTGCACTGGACAAGCTGGTTTTGGCCTCAGCTCATATGTGAAAACCCTGTGATTCAGAAACTACCAGCTAATGCACTCGCAGTCGTGTAAAGCAGCTTTGTTGACAAGTTTGGGTAAGTAAAGGCGAAACACACACGATCTCGTACCTTCAGTGGCCGGTAGAGTTCGATATCGCTTCTTTATAGCAGAAATAAACTGCTGCAGAAAAAGTTTGGTGCCATGCAAAATGTACCAAGTTAAACTGCATTACTCATTACAAATGCAATTAAATAAAGAGTACATATACTTATTTAAAAATGTAGTCAAGTCGAGAGTAAAAGTTGCTAATACCTTTGATACTCAGTTAAACTATAAAGTAGCCAAAAAGATACTTGCGTACTGTAACTAATTACATTTGCTCAAATACTTTACACCTCTGACAAAGATCATTTTATAGAGATTTGGCTACAAAAAAACAAGTCTATGAAATATTTTATGGCTTAAAAACAAGTAGAAAAAACACAGTGTGGTCCAAAGTACAAATCAATTGTAAACAATGTGCTTTAAACGTTTGATATAATAATATTACAAATTGTATTGTAAGAATTTAGAGAAAATTATAATAAGAATATTATTTGTATTTGGCATTTGTATTAAACGGTTCAAAATCATGAATCACAATTTTTTCAATGTAACGTTACTCTATGACATTTGCTCAATAATTAGATAAATTTCCTGGCCTGGATTTGAAAACCGACTGATATTAATATCACACTTTCCATGACATTGGGAACCCTGAATACATAATTTCCTCATACATGACCACATCACATGTCAGATCTAGGGGTCAGATCCACACATACTCTCAGTTTATGATATTTCCTCTGTCTAATCATAATGGATTCAGCAGTGAAACCAATAACTCTGATTAGAAAAACAATCAAATGGCATTAGAGTAAGTTTGGTGTTAGTTTTGAAACACACACACACAGTATTGGCCTGCTTGTGTAGCCAGAACTACAAACACACACCAGTAATAATAAATGTGTGCTGTATGTTGTTGTTGCAGGAATACAAACGCCACATTCAGCAGTATTTTACAGTTGTTATAACGTTATGTGTGTTTTGATCAAATCTCCTTTACCTGCTCCGACGTCTCGCTGTCGCTGCTGAAACAGCACCCCATGATACACGTTCAGCAGGTTCAGTCTCTCTTCTTTGTGAGTTTTTCGTCTCCTGCGCGGTTTTTATTATTTTGTTTGTTGGCTGTGAAGAGCTTCGTTGCAAACGCAGGGACCATCACATGACAGCACTCCTAGCCGTGTCACGTGACTTCCGTTTTCACACACAACTACCCTGTCACGTCATTTCCGCTCGTCGCGTGACCGCGTAGAGCCGTTATGTTCGTTTTCGACTGATAAAAAAAATTGTTTTCAATCAATACATTAATAAAGGCGTCGTAAGAGATTTCAGTGTTTTACTCTTATTAGTTTCTAAATTAAACAAAAACATGTCATCCTACGCGATTGTTTCTCATTGGCTTAATTTCAGGTGATATTTTGTAAAACACTTTTGTTGGAAGAAAATATTGACAAATATAACGTTATTAATAAAATAGCCTATTAATGTAATTATAATGAACATATTGGCTTCGTAAAAGTTTAGCTCCCTATATAACTATTTTCTTATATTAAAACATCGGTAGCAATGTTTGCATTTCTACCAATTATAAAACGGTTGTGGGATGATTATGGGATTAAGTAACTTTACCAAAATGACCATATTTCTAAATAAATAATTAAATGCTGCACAATATAAAGTCACATTTCTCTCATCATTTGACTTAGATTATTAAATTAATGTCTATGTGAATTTTATTGGTGTAAACAGACTAAAAAAAATACAGGATCATCTCTTTATGTGATAATTACTTACTGATGTATTTTTGTTTAATGTTTTTTTTTCCCTCGGGTTAAATACATGACAGAAAACAAACACACTCCATCTTAATTTTGTCATTAGAGCATAGGAGATGGTTTTGTGTTTTGCTTAGGCTATGCAAATGTTGTTTCATGGATTAATAGCTTAGTGTTATAGCTTTTGTGTATACAGTTCAGCTGCTTTATAGCCTACGTATTGCAAAAAAAGTAAAACAATACTGTAACTGTAATTGAGTGAAGTTCAATATAATATATTATTATTAATTATTATGATAGTTAATTATTATTATGAAGCAAAAGTTGATTTGCTTATTGTTTATTTGTGGGTAGGTCTAATTGTTAGACAGTAATCTTTTCCTTTTTTTTATTTCAACTGTATCAAAATCTTTAAGAATGTATTTCCGTCTTATATAGGGTTTGGGTAATAAGCCTGCAAAATAGAATTTCTAATGACTTTATTTGTAAATGTTTTAATCACAAAGAATCGCAAACGTCTTAAGAGAGCTGCCTCGGTTCTGAGGAGACTTTGGAGTACAAAATATCTTCTTTTACCATTAATCTTAAAGGAATTGGGATGGCTTTGATAATTATATTATAAATATTGACAGTACACTGCAGTTGGAATTTCTCACAAAACTCTTTAAACAGTAACAAATTTCCATGTTCAAGAAATAAGCAACCGTTACAGCACAAATCCCTTTGGATTTTCTTTCCTGAAGACATACAGACTTTCTGCCCAACTTTATAGTTCTATTATTATTCCAAACTGGAGTGTTGTAAAGCGTGAAGTTATGTTTGAACAATAGTTTTCAATAGACCAGCACTTGCTGATGGAAGGCTGAGAGTTTCACTGGTAACGAGGACCATTCAAAGTCACAACGTAGTAGAAAAAAGTTCATTTTTTTGGAAACAATGCTGTGTCGTCAGCAAACTGACTTATAATTATTTGCCTATAAAACACTGTTAAAGCTTCAAAACCCCTATTTTTAATCAATATAGATAATAGCTCTGCAACCATTATAGATAACAATGGTGATGCTGGACGAATCCCCCTTTTAATGGTAAATCTTGTGCAGAGCTACGGAGCTATTGAAATAACATTTCAATAAATGTTATGAATCTTACTCCAAAACCAAAATGCTGCAAGTTTTTCATAATAAAGGGATGCTCAATGACATCAAATGCTTTGTAAAAAATAAAAATAAGAAACCTACTCCATTGAACCACATCACTAATTGAGTAAATCTAAAACCAATCTAATATTATTATGGATTGAATAAAATTCTGAAACACTGATTATAGAAAAAAAAAATATATAGGAGAAAGCTGGAGGATATATAGTTTAGAATAGAACTGAAATACTTGCTCTATAACAGTGCGGAGTTGTGGTTTACTGAATGCGGCCCCTTTAAGAAATATGACACCGCGCGCATGCGCAGAAGAGGAGAAACGAGATACACACGAGACGAGAGACGAGACGAGAAGAGCGCTAAAACTTTCACCAGTTGAAGCTAAAAGTGACGCTGTTAACGATCGTGAATGAAGTACAAATGTGGAATATTTTCTTCGGATGTCGTATATTTCCAGTCTGCAGGTGAGATATGTTATATTTGTCATGTAGCCTAATAATTGACGTTTGTGTTGCCTAAATGTACATTGTTCGTAGTGTAACGTGCAGAGAATTAAATAGTTATTAATTTTGATCAGCCTCTTATTCAGTTTGTAGAAATTGTGTATAATTTCTGTTATCTTAGTTATATTTTTGTTTAATTCATATATTAATTTAAGAATGTATCCTGTGTTGTTTCATCCACATTAAATCTGGAGTCACATGAAAATGAACAACCTTACAATAGAGCCGTTTTAAATGCGACTAATACATAACCATGCATATCAAAATGCTCTGTTTCAAAAATCAAGTCTAAAATCATATGATAATTTAATTTAAGAAGTGTAGTGCTAATTATCACAGTATTTCTTTATGAACGCAGTGACCTTAAATTTGACAGATCTGGTGTCCCGACCCTCACAACAATTCACCAAATAAGAAAGCTTCAGTTCAATAGATTAGCCGTAGGCTACTGTACTAATGTGGAGAGAGTTTGAATGAGCAATGTCTATCCATTCAACCAGTTAGTTTATTTTCAAGTACATTATTGGTAAGACAAATATTTGTACATTTGTTTTGTCAAAGTAATTTATTGAAAGTAATAACGTTTAACTGAGCTGCTAAGCATCTTTATCTCATTCAATAGTCCCTGTTTTTACCTCATTCATTATGGTGATGTTTGAGATTAATGTTTTACCCTTCATGTTAAAGTTAATGACTAAAATACTATTAAAGGGACATTGTGTAGGAATTTCTCCCATCTAGCGGTGAAATTGTTTTTTGCATTCAAACGAATTGTGCTCTCCTCGCTTTTTCAAATGCGTGTTGCATCTACGGTAGCCGTTATGTACCAAAAAGCTATGACAGGATGTCTTCTAATAGCACTTCGTCGAGTTTTCCTTTGGGTGAACAGGTTGCAAGAACAATCATATGGTCTATTAAAATATATTCTTATCGAATTTCTAGGTTACAAAAAGTAGGCCTAAACTTACGAGAGAGAATTTGCATTTTCATTCAGCCTGTCTGCCCTTAAGATAATTAACATTACATACATAATAATTTATTAGGCTCAAATGTGAGGTTAACCATTTTTTAACATTGTTTTATTTAGAAACAAAGTTTTTTAAATTGTATATTGTTATGTTACAGTTTATGATGTTACCAGACATTGACATTGATTCAAAACAACTTTGTGACCTAAACATGTTTGTTCTAATATCAGAACTTTAAAAAAATTATTTCACAATTTTTAGAAGAACTTACAACACTTGTTACTTACAAAAACGAGCAACTTAGAGCTGTTTTTTACACTACTAATATGTAACTCAATATTTAAGCTAAATATATTTGAAGCACCACGTGTGTTTTGCTGTTAAAGTAATCCAGTATAAATTCAGTAACTTATCTTTTGATTTTTCCAGATCTGGTCCTGTGGGCGTCAGTATCACACAGTGATCACAGTTCACACCTGCAGTGAAGCCCCTCCCACAACAATTCACCAATAAATACTGGGAATATTCCCATCATCCTACAAGAGAAGCACAAACTCCAGGAGTAGCAGCTGAAATCTGTGTGACTGTTAAAGATGGAGTTTATTAAAGTGGAGATTGAAGACATGAGTGATCCAGAACCATCCAGAATAAAACATGAAGATACTGAGGAACAAACAGGTTGGTGTCCATTCTTGATTCTTCATTGTTGACTGCTTTCGTAGCTTTGAAATAATAATTAGTATATGGATGACAAATGATAAGACAAATGCATCTAAATAATCATAACCCCGTTTTAATCGTATTAACAAGTGAATGACAGAACTGGCCTTTGCCCATCAAAGATACTTTGGTAACACTTTACAATAAGGTCTCATTCAACATTAATTAATGTATTAACTAACATACTAACAATGAGCAATACATTTATTACAGTATTTATTAATCTAACAAATGTTAAGGGGTTGGTTGATTATGATTTCACTTTTCTAACTTTAGTTAGTGTGTAATGTTGCTGTTTGAGGATAAACAACAACTGCAAAGTTACAACTCTCAAAGTGCAAAGCAAAGGGAGATATTTTCCTTTACAGAAATCGCTTTTTAAGGACTACAACAAACGGCTGATTGGGACTACAAGAGCTCCCTCTCGGGTTAGTGACATCACAAACCCTAAAATTGACATAAACCCCGTCCCTGGGAACATGCAGTCCAGAAGAGGAATAGTTGTTGTAGTAAATGTAATAGTATTTCACTCTGTTGGCATCTTACAACAATTCCAATCAATGAATATACTAATAAATGACTAGAAGATAGTTAACCCCACACCAGCAACATAAATTCATCAACTAACCATTCAGAGATGTCCTGATGCATTTTACATGTTGTCACTTCTTCTTGAGTCTCTCCATTATTGTCCCACTCCAATTTAAACATAAAAGGCAGACCAGTGTGTCTGTCTGTGTGAGGTAATTGGAGCTGCCTTTTAGTGTGTCTTCAAGCTGCTAACACTAGATGTCTCATCTGCGCTGCTGGCCAATGGAGGTCGACGTCCGCACCTGGCGGCCATCTTGTCACAGGCAGCTCGCTCACTCGCAACATTGTGTTTTAACGGTGCATGTACTTTTTAAATAACCATAACTTGCTCAATTTTCTACCGATTTTCAAACAGTTTGGTTTGTTATAAACGTCAGAGATGTATTTATGACACTGCAAACTTATGCATAATAAGTGTATCAATAAATAATCATCCAGAATTATAGCCACGTTAGTAACGTTTGTAAGAAACCAAATCGTTTGTAAATCCGTCAAGATTTCGACGAGATAAGAGTATTTGTGTTCATGCTGATCACTCATCTTACATCAGGCACCACAGAGCCCGCCAGAAAGCTTGCCTGTGACAAGATGGCCCCCGGTGATGACGATAGAGACTCCGCCGAGACTCCGCCGTAAGACATCTAGCCTTTATTAGGGATATCTATGGCTAACACACCCTTGTAGCTCCACCCTCTTATTGTAAGGGAGCAGCAGCTCATTTGCATTTAAAGGGACACACAAAACAACATGTTTTTGCTCACCCTCAAAAAGGGACAATTTTAACATGCTATAAAACTTATCTGTGGGGTATTTTGAGCTAAAACTTCACATAAAGACTCTGGGGACGACAGAGACTTATTTTACATCTTGTAAAAAGTGCCATTATACCACCCCTTTAACAAATACAACTTTTGATTTTAATAATGTATTATAGGGGTGGGCGGTATGACCAAAATTCTATTTCAGGGTATGACTAATTTTATTTCACGGTAACGATATATTTCACGATATAGTTATTTATATATGTAGTTATTCTCGAAAAATCGACAAAAAGGGCTTTGTATAATAAATAAACCCAAATACTTTAGAAATGAAAAGATTGTCCTTCACATGGTTTTCTTTTTCTCTTATTTGGTCAATTATTTCATATTAAATTAGTTACTTCCTTTTAATTTTTTAGGATAGTAATACTACCGTATTTTCCGCACTATAAGGCGCACTTAAAAGCCTTTAATTTTCTCAAAAAACGACAGTGCGCCTTATAATCCGGAGCGCCTTATATTTGGATGGTGAACACACGTTCACCAAGACGGGGAGACAGCGCCGGGCGACTTACGCCACTATCTGCCAATGGATCGTGGATGCCTGGGCTGATATATCAGTCACAACTGTGATCCGAGCTTTCACGAAGGCAGGAATAAATAATTCAGCCAGCTCACATACCCGTATTTACTTCCTGTTTTCGGCCGAAGTCCACAGTAGTTGATTGTCGAGTTCGCGCGCGCGCGATCAAACCTCCTCCGTGTGTTCAACATCTGATTCGGATGAACTATCCATTTGAGCTGATATTCTCAGAACACCACACAGCACCGTCATCGGCTGACAGTCTGAGTCTCCACTGTTGCTTAGTTACCAATGATTGCGCGCGCGCACTCGACAATCGCCTACTGTGGACTTCGACCGAAAACAGGAAGAAAATACGGGTATGTGAGCTGACTGAATGAACATCATTTTTATTCATATCTTTCACATTAACTGCAGTCAGATTCACCGTGTTCACTCACATGGCTGTGCACTTGTAATGACACATTAAGGTTGTTAAGAGGCTAAAAGCAGGTTTAAAACTTGTCCCGTTTAAGTCAACAGGGTGCACATTTTAAAAAGAGGATAACACGGTGTAGGCAACACCGGTTTTTGGCGTTGTTATCTGTACTGACAGCACTCCAAATTTACAAAAAATGAGCTCAATGTTAAAATTGACCGGAGTTTTCCTTTAACGTTTGAACAACGTTACCATGGGAGTGAACGGAGTTGTCAGAAGGCTTAATAAAGTTTGACTTTATCTGACTGTTTTGTTGACATCTAGTGGATGCATAACGTAAACCCAGTCAAACGTTTGACTGCAGTATCTTATGCGCCTTATAATTCGGTGCGCCCTATATATGAAAAATGTTCTAAAATAGGTCATTCATTGAAGGTGCGCCGTATAGTGCGGAAAATACGTAGTTATGTTTAAATGTGTTACCCGGTACATTTTTGCCATGTCTGCTTATACACTGCGTTTTTAAGGGGATTGTTTTGATCTTTTTGTTATATCTGGCAACCCATCATCTTGTAACTGCGTCATTATTTGACCACAGCCCGGTGAACACTGACACACCGCGCTCCCTTTCAGTGCGTGTGCACGCGCGCGTCTTTTGCATCAGTAAAATGCGATCGGTTAATTTGAGTGTCAAGTTGTAATCACGTAGCGAATCAAAGGAAGATTTTATCAGCTGGTTCAGTGGCCAATTGTTTGGAGTTAGAAATATAGCTATAACTCGCGCTGCATATTTATTAATTTTGCCTTAGATACAGGATTATACATTCACTTTAACAAGCAGGTTGTTCATTACCACGGCAACCGTTTGCGTCATGCTGAATGCGATGATTTTCGTGTTTAAAAACTATACATAAGAGACGGAAAGATGCAGATAACTATACATTATTTAAAGTTATTTCTATTCGTTACGATATTGATATATGACCTGTTGTTTTCAATTAATGCTTTCCCCGTTGCGAGCGTGCACTCCTCTAAACTGTAGCTATGGGTGCTGCACTGCTCTAGTCGACTGCTGCGCTTTCCCCCCCGAAAATATCACGTTAACAACAACCCTTTAGAAAATGTAATTCCTTTGTGGATCATCTTGATCTGCTTTCTCCATGTTTCTTTGACAATTCACTGTGTTTCAGTCTCACGCACGCTGCACGCGAGTTAACCACGCCCACTTATTTGCATGTTGCGGTATACACGTAATAAAAAAATCTGTTACGGTTGACATTTTCTACCGCGGTAACGATATATACCGTCATACCGCCCAGCCCTAATGTATTAGTAAATGTTGAAATTACAACAACTAAGATTAATAAATGCTGCAGAAGTAGTATTCATTGTTAGTTTATGTTAACTACATGAGTTAACTAAGGAAGCCTTATTGTAAAGTGTCACTGATACTTAATACACAGACAGATGTCTTGTTTTTGCTGTGTTTTTAATTTTCACATTTAACCTCATTGAACTGATTCTAACTGATTAATACATTTTATTTTAGTCCAGATGGAAGTGAAGGAGCAAATACAGAAACTAAATGACGTGAAGAAACACTATGACTTCAAAACTCACGGAACAAAAGTCAATAAGCTGCACTCCTGCTCTCAGTGTGGAAAGAGTTTCCAGAATAAAGGAAACCTTAACAAACACATAAGAATTCACACTGGAGAGAAACCGTATCCATGCACTCAGTGTGAGAAGAGTTTCAGAGATGCAACAGGTTTAAAAATTCATCTGCACATTCACTCCGGAGAAAAACCATTCAAGTGTGATCAGTGTGGTAAAGGTTTTAATTCATCATCAAATCTAATACAACACCTCAAAGTTCATTCAGATGAGAAGCCTCACTTGTGTTCTTTCTGTGGAAAGAGTTTTTCACGGATGGACAGTTTTAAACTTCACCAGAAAATACATACCGGTGTGAGAGATCATGTTTGTTGTGACTGTGGGAAGAGCTTTACTGCATCCTGTGAACTGAAACGGCACCAAAGAATTCACACTGGAGAGAAACCGTATACATGCACTCAGTGTGGAAAGAGTTTTTCTCAAGCATCAGGTCTCAGTGTTCATCTGCTCCGTCACTCTGGAAAAAAAACTTTTAACTGCGTTCAGTGTGGTAAATATTTTATTTTGTCATCAGATCTAAAAGACCACCTGAAAGTTCATTCAGATGAGAAGCCTTATGCGTGTTCTCTCTGTGGAAAGAGTTTTCCACGGATGAAGAGTTTTAAACAACACCAGAAAACACATGATGAAGTGAGAGATCATGTGTGTTGTGAATGTGGGAAGAGATTTACTAGAGCTGATTGTCTGAAACGTCACCAACAAACTCATACTGGAGAAAAACCTTACAAGTGCTCATACTGTGACAAGAGTTTTGCTCGGTTGGGACGTCTAAAATCACATGAGCGAATTCATACTGGAGAGAAGCCGTATATCTGTACTCTGTGTGAGAAGAGTTTCAAAGATGCAACCGGTTTAAAAAAGCATACGTTTATTCACACTAGGAAAAAAACGATTTAACTGTGATCAGTGAGGTAAAAATTTTTATTTGTCATCAAGTCTAAAACAACACCTTGTAGGAAACTCAGAAGCGAAGACCAGGAGACTTGGTTGTAACTTTATCAGGATTCTTTGTTGAGGACACGAGCTGTCGGTAGATGCAGTCATCAAGTCTAAGGCAGTGTTGTAGTTTATATACTTTTAGAGGGCAGTGCTTAGAAATGGAGACAAAGCACCTGGGTGACTTAAACATGTTTAGGAACCCACCATAGACTCTAGACTAGAGTGTTACCAATCCTAATCCAATCAGCATAACTATTCAAAGACTGGGACAGGGGCTCTGAGAGCCATTTAATACAAAGGGGAGAGTCTCAGTAATTTAACTTTTTAAAAACAGGACTGGCAGAAATCTATTGCTGTAAACTTTGCTTAACAGCTGACATCATCATCAGAACCTCAAATGCTAAATTCAATGTACTCTACCCAACATGACATCATGACTTTGCGTAAACATACACGCCACTTTCAATTCAAGTGGCGTGTTATCTATACGCATTTTGAGCTATCCGCGTGTATGTCCACGCCGAAATCTTTTGCGTGTATGTCTACGCCATTAAATGTCCGAGTGATTCCGCGTGTATGTGTACGCCGTTAAATGTCCGAGCGAAATGAAGCAAAATCTATATCTACATCTGTGGAGCGATATTTCTTTTCCTAGGATGGTAGGAGAAGACTCATAAATGGTATTAACCCCAGTGACGGGTAGGTTTAGGGACGGGGTTGGGGTAGGTCATATATTTATATATACATTAGACATGTGCCGGTATTCGGTAATGCGATAAATCGCGGTAATGAATATGCACGATATTGTTATCGCGGGGACTTCGAAATACCGTAAAAAAAAATAGATCCGAATTTAGATTTTTAGAACGCGCATTAGCTTATTTTCCATCAACCGCTTAAAAAACAATGCGTATATGCTGCGCAAAACACATGTGCACTTTGATGTAAACAATCCCCACATCACATGTATAAGCACTGTGTGCATGCAGTGCGCACTCTAGTCTAATGTAAACAATCCTCACGTGGAGAAGAAACACGGCGGAAGGAGGAACGCTGCCGACTATTTATCCCCCGCATGGCTGCCAACTCTCACGCATTCAGCTTGAGACTCACGCAATTGACACTTTCACACGGTCTCGCGCCACACATCCATTTTCTCACGCAGAGAAAAATCGCGGAGCAAAGAGGACACTGACACCGACAGACTAGACAGAGCAGGTTACTTTTGATATGAAAAAAATATCAGCTCTCAGGTTTTATAACGAAATTCAGACAATAAATACTGTTTTGGTGCTTGTAAATGTGACGTGACAGATCGCGCGCCTCAGATCAAGTAAACCGATCATCTGTTACTTTTTATTAAAGATACAGTACAACCCACCGAAAGGTACGTACTTTCGATCAATCAGTGTTTTTCAACCACGGAAAGAGGTCAATAACACTGCAGGAGAACAATTATGTCACAGAACGTTACATTTACCTCAGGAAAGCCATTTAATGTTAGTTGACTATAAGAAAATAGCTATAGAGAGGAGTATTTTGCTAAATATGTGCACTATATTACATATTTTAATATATGTACTTGTCATTATATAATTGTTATTATAATGAAAATTACGGCATATTACATTTTTATATTTATATTATTATTATATTTATATTGTATGCATTATATTTAATTTCTTTCTGTATGTTTACAGCATTATGTGAGATATATTTTTTCTTGAGAAACATTTAAATGCAGGCTATCTACTGTAGCCTACCTAATATTTATCCAAATGAGTCAATATTGAAACAAGATTGAAATTAAATCCAAGAATTTAATTGAAATCATGAAAATTGTGTTAAGCAATAATACAAACAGTAGCCTCAGTAACCATGTAAACATTATAACATGTTGTCACTAAAAAATAAAATTAATGTTTTGACAATCACAATTACACATTGTGATGCAAGTTTTTTTTAGATACCCCCAATCCGTCTGTTTCTCTTGTGCAATTAAAATATCGTGATGATACCGTATACCGTGATAAAAGCTCAATCAATTAATCGCAGCATGAAAATTTGATACCGGCACATGCCTAATATACATAATACAGTAATATAACGTTAAGTCAAAGGCGTTGATAAACACGCTGAAAAGCGATTATGCGTGTTGATAGCACGCCAGAAATGGAAATACGAATTGGCGTGTCATACATACGCCATTTCATGAGATCAGTCTGACTCTACCATAGTTTTTCATGTTATGTTATGTAAGGATATAAGATCAGCAGATCTTAAACAGATTCTTAAATTTGTAATTCCACAGCCTGTAAGTTTGTTCAGATGACAGGCCTTATGTGTGTTCTCTTTGTGGAAAGAGTTTTTCATGGCTAAAGAGTTTTAAACTACACCAGAAAACACATAATCAAGTGAAAGATTATGTGTGTTGTAACTGTGGAAAGAGCTTTACTACATCTAGGCTAATTGACTGAAATGGCTCCAAAGAATTCATACTGGAGAAAGACCTTACAAGTGGTCATATTGCTCATATTTTCTACATTGTAATCATTATGTTAACAACTTGTAATAATTACTTGAATGTGCAAATTTATTGATTCTGCGGAAGAATCAGAATTTCTGCCGTAATACATTGTTAGCTAACTGCGTGATTTGTATATGTACATTTCTGAAATACATAACTTGGACACAGTCACCTCTGATAACAGATCATTCTAAATTATAATCTAAACAAATGCATTTTCTGTAAAGCTGCTTTGAAATGATATGTATTGTGAAATGCGCTATGCAAATAAATGTGAATTTAATTAAATTTAATTGTGACGAGTTTTACTAAGTCTGGAACCCTGAAATCACATGAGCGGCATACTGGAGAGAAGCCGTACTACTGTACTCAGTGTGAGAAGAGTTTTACACGTTTATCAAGCCTTCTCACTCATTTAAAAAAATATTGCAAGTGAGCAAAATTAGTTTTTTAATGTCATATAGTAAATACTGTGAGATAAAATATGGAACTGATTCCTTCGCTCCACCTTGGCCTGCCGACCTGGCTCCTCGCACCCTCGGTTCCACTCTAGACCCTCGTCTCTCCGGCTTTACCAGAGACCTTCGTCCCTCCGGCTCGACCATAGACCCTCGTCTCTTCGGCTCCACCCGAGACCTTCGTCCCTCCGGCTCCACCAGAGACCCTCGTCCCTCCGGCTCCACCAGAGACCTTATTCCCTCCAACTCCACCAGAGACCCTCGTCCCTCCGGCTCCACCTAATACCCTCGTCCCTCCGGCTCCACCAGAGACTCTGCCTGTGCCATGGACTTATAAGTTTTACTCCGGCTCCACCAGAGACCCTTATCCCTCCGGCTCCACCAAAGACCCTCGTCCCTCTGGCTCCTCAAGAGACCCTGCCTGTGCCGCGGACTTACAGTGAGCAGCAGTGGCTCAGTGTTTCATATAGGTTGTCTACAAACCGGAAGGTTCAATCCCCGGTTCCACCTTACCAAGTGTCGAGGTGTCCATGAGCAGGACACCTAACCCCAGCTGCTTCCGACGAGCTGAATGGTGCCTTGCATGGCTGACACCACCGTCGGTGTATGAATGAGTGAGTGAATGTGAGGCAATATGTAAAGCGCTTTGGTGGCCATTGGGTCTGTGAAAGCGCTATATAAATGCAGTCCATTTACCATTTACAAATTATACTCCGGCTCCACCAGAGACCCTTGTCCCTCCAGCTCCACGAAAGACCCTCATCCCTCCGGCTCCACCATGACCTTCATCCTTCTGGCTCCACAAGAGACCCTGCCTGCGCCGCGGACTTACAAGTTATACTCCGGCTCCACCTCAGTCCTCTGGCCATCAGGTTCCACCTTGGATGCTAGTCGCCGTGGCTTCACGTTGGGCGCCAGTTCCAGTGGTGTTGCTCAAGTCCATCGGTTCTCCGTCTACGCCCTGGGATCCCCTGACATAGGTTCCCACTCTGTCAGTCGTCCACCGGAAGTCAAGTCAAAGTCAAGTCAAAGCGTTTATTGTCATATGCACAGTGAGGAAAACAAGTTTTCCCTGTACAATGAAATTCTTTCTTTGCTGTCCACAGTGAATGCCAAGACTAGTGCAAAGTACTTTAAAAAAAAGAAGAAAACACACACACACACAAACAAAAATAAAAATGCTGTAGAATAAGAATTTGAACGTATTAAAACATTTAAATATAGTACATCTATGTAAGCAAATGTGCAATATTGACTATGTGCAATACAATAATACATTAAAGTGCAATTGAGTGCAGCTCCATGATAATAGCAACAACATTAACAGATGTGCAATCGATGCAACAATTAGTCCAAATATTCTATAAGATGTGACTAATCCACTGGCTATTTGTTTAAGAGTCTGATAGCTGAGGGGTAGAACGAGTTCCTAAATCTGGAAGTCCTCCATTTCACACTGCTATATCTCCATCCCGAGGGTAGAAGTGTGAACAGTCCATGCTGGGGGTGGGTAGGGTCCTTAATGATGGACGCAGCTCTCCTGTGGACTCTGCGATGGTAGATGGCCTGCAGAGAAGGCAGTGTTGGAAGGAATGTTGTCTGGCCCTGCTGCCTTACAGGGGTTAATCCTCCTCAGTGCTTTGTGCACCACAGCTGATGAGACAGTTAAAGGGGGGGAGGAGGGTTAGGTGGTCCAAATGTGTGAATAACTCCTCTCTGTATTGGCGCTGGGGGTCTCAAAGCAAGCAAAAAGGTGTTTAAGTTATCCGGTAGGCTGTCTGAGGAGCTGCTAGTCCTTATGATGTTCCTGAAGTCGGTGACGTGCTGCAGGCCCTGCCACATTCGCCCGGCATCAGCAGTAGAGTAGAAACTGTCCAGCTTCTCTCTATACTGTCCCTTGGCCGCTGTTATGGCTCTTCTTAGTTCATACTTTGCAGCTTTGTACTCTGTCCCATTGCCAGATGCAAATGCAAAAGATCGAGCACACAGCATGTCGCGTACCTGACTGTTTATCCAGGGCTTCTGATTGGGGAACTTCCTGACTTTTATGATGGGTATGATGTTATCAACACAAGTGCTAATATACCTTGTCACATATTCAGTATAGTCCTGAATGTTGACAGAAAAGTCCTCCTGAGTGGCTGCAACTTTGAACACATCCCAGTCTGTTAGAGCAAAACAGTCCTGCAAAATGACCTCAGTCTTTGGGGTCCAATGCTTATCCTGATTAATGACAGGATTTGTTTGTTTGAGTCTTTGTCTGTAAACCGAGTACAGAAACAAAGAAATGTTGTCTGAGAGTCCAAAATGGGGGCGGGGTGCAGCCCTATATGCACCACGTATGTTACTGTAAACATTGTCTAGTGTGTTTTTATTTTTATTTCATTTTTGAGCGGGAACATCAAAAGTGTGGCCATGTGCCATTTTTTACAAAAACAACATGAGGAAAACCCACATTCCTAACAGAAAACATATGTTAATTTAATTTAAATGTAATTAAACCTAATCCAGTATCAATTCAGTAACTTATCTTTTATTTTTCCAGATCTGGTCCTGTGGGCGTCAGTATCACACAGTGATCACAGTTCATACCTGCTGTGAAGCCCCTCCCACAACAATTCACCAATAAATACTGGGAATACTCGCATCATCCTACAAGAGAAGGACAAACTCCAGGAGTAGCAGCTGAAATCTGTGTGACTGTTAACCCTCTGGGCTTCTTTGTTTAGGGGTTACACTTGGCTTCCTTTCGGTCAAAAAAGACCGAAGCCTTAAAATGTAACTTTTTTTTTCCCCCAGGAAAACCATTCAAATATATTTTTGTTCAATAATATTTTCTTATTATTATTTAGAATTTTTAAAGATTTTTATGATGCTTTGCTATTTTTATATAGTTTGTGTCTTATAGGGTGTCTTATTTGCACTCTTGATGTTTTAGAGTGTCACCCCTTCATTGCTGTACACTTTTTTTCTGCACAGTGGCTGATCTGTAGTTTGTACCACCAAAAGTTTCTCTGAGTTTTCCTATTTTTTTTCGTATTTCCCATTCATTTCCTATGTCGGTCATTTTTGACCGAAAGGAAGCTAAGTGTGACTATTTTTTTTACGACCCTTTAACATATCCGAATCATCTCCTTGATTTTTTTGTGTGTTCACATAGGTAATACAACAAAAGTCACCAAGTTTCATCCCCCTCCGATGAAGCAAAAAAATTAAACATTTCAAAACGTATACTGTTTCGGTCATTTTTGAACGAAGAAGCCCAGAGGGTTAAAGATGGAGTATATTAAAGAGGAGATTGAAGACATGAGTGATCCAGAACCATCCAGAATAAAACATGAAGATACTGAGGAACAAATAGGTTGGTGTCCATTTTTGATTCTTCATTGTTGACTGCTTTCGTAGCTCTAAAATATGGATTACAAATGATAGAGAAATGAATACTAATGATCAGAAGCCACTTTTAATCGCATTAACAAGTGAATGATAGAACCAAACTTTGCACATTAAAGATACTTTATACTGACAGGTGTCTTGTTTTCTGCTTGTTAAGTGTTTTAAATTCTCACATTTAACCTCATTGAACTGATTCTAACTGATTAATACATTTATTTTAGACCAGATGGAAGTGAAGGAGCAAATACAGAAACTAAATGAAATGAAGAAACTCTGCGACTTCAAAACTCAAGGAACAAAAGCCAAAAAGTTGCACTCCTGCTCTCAGTGTGGAAAGAGTCTCCAAAAGAAAATAAACCTTACGATACACATGAGAATTCACACTGGAGAGAAACCGTATACATGCACTCAGTGTGGAAAGAGTTTTACTCAAGCATCAAATCTCAGTAAACATCTACACATTCACTCTGGAGAAAAACCATTCAAGTGTGATCAGTGTGGTAAAGGTTTTAATTCATCATCAAATCTAATACAACACCTCAAAGTTCATTCAGATGAGAAGCCTCACTTGTGTTCTTTCTGTGGAAAGAGTTTTTCACGGATGGACAGTTTTAAACTTCACCAGAAAATACATACCGGTGTGAGAGATTATGTGTGTTGCGACTGTGGGAAGAGCTTTACTGCATCCTGTGAACTGAAACGGCACCAAAGGTTTCACACTGGAGAGAAACCGTATACATGCACTCAGTGTGGAAAGAGTTTTTCTCGAGCATCAGGTCTCAGTGTTCATCTGCTCCGTCACTCTGGAAAAAAAACTTTTAACTGCGTTCAGTGTGGTAAATATTTTATTTTGTCATCAGATCTAAAAGACCACCTGAAAGTTCATTCAGATGAGAAGCCTTATGCGTGTTCTCTCTGTGGAAAGAGTTTTCCACGGCTGAAGAGTTTTAAACAACACCAGAAAACACATGATGAAGTGAGAGATCATGTGTGTTGTGAATGTGGGAAGAGATTTACTAGAGCTGATTGTCTGAAACGTCACCAACAAACTCATACTGGAGAAAAACCTTACAAGTGCTCATATTGTGACAAGAGTTTTGCTCGGTTGGGACGTCTAAAATCACATGAGCGAATTCATACTGGAGAGAAGCCGTATATCTGTACTCTGTGTGAGAAGAGTTTCAAAGATGCAACAGGTTTAAAAAAGCATACGTTTATTCACACTGGGAAAAAAACTATTTTACTGTGATCAGTGAGGTAAAAATTTGTCATCAAGTCTAAAACAACACCTTGTAGGAAACTCAGAAGCGAAGACCAGGAGACTTGGTTGTAACTTTATCAGGATTCTTTATTGAGGACACGAGCTGTCGGTAGATGCAGTCATCAAGTCTAAGGCAGTGTTGTAGTTTATATACTTTTAGAGGGGAGTGCTTAGAAATGGAGACAAAGCACCTGGGTTACGACCTTAAACATGCTTAGGAACCCACCATAGACTCTAGACTAGAGTGTTACCAATCCTAATCCAATCAGCATAAGTATTCAAAGACTGGGACAGGGGCTCCGAGAGCCATTAAAGACAAATGGTCAGAGTCTCAGTAATTGACTCATTTAACTTACAATAGAGAGAACAGGAATGGCAGGAATCTCTTGCAGGAAACTTTGCTTAACAGCTAATATCATCATCAGATCCTCAAATGCTGAATTCAATGTACTCTACCTTAGTTTTTCATGTTATGTTATGTAAGGACATAAGATCAGCAGATCTTTAACAGATTCTTAAATTTGTATTTCCACAACCTGAAAGTTTGTTCAGATGACAGGCCTTATAGTGTTCTCTCTGTGGAAAGAGTTTTTCATGGCTAAAGAGTTTTAAACTGCACCAGAAAACACATAATCAAGTGAAAGATCATGTGTGTTGTAACAGTGGGAAGAGCTTTACTACATCTAGGCTAATTGACTGAAACAGCTTCAAATATTTCATACGGGAGAAAGACCTTACAAGTGCTCATATTGTTCATATTTTTTATATTGTAATCATTATGTTGACAATTTGTAATAATTACCTCAATGAGCAAATGTATTGATTCTGCTGCATAATCAGAATTTCTGCCTTAATACATTGTTTGCTAACTGCGTGATTTGTATGTACATTTCTGAAATACATAACTTGGACAGTCACCTCTGATAACAAAATCACTCTAAATTGTAATCTAAACCTGCATTTTCTGAAAAACGCTATACAAATAAATGTGAATTGAATTAAATTGTGACAAGAGTTTTACTAAGTCTGGAACCCTGAAATCACATGTGCGACTTCATTCTGGCGAGAATCCGCGCTACTGTACTCAGTGTGAGAAGAGTTTTACACGTTTATCAAGCCTTCTCACTCATGTAAATAAAATTTGCAAGTGAACAAAATTTGTTTTCTAATGATTAAGAGTAAATACTGTGAGATAAAATATGAAGCTGATCCCTTTGCTCCACCTCTGCCAGCCGACCTGTCGGCGCCGCCTTGGCTCGTCGCACCCTCGGCTCCACCAGATACCTTCGTCCCTCCGGCTCCACCAGAGACCTTCGTCCCTCCTGCTCGACCATAGACCCTCGTCCCTCTGGCTCCACCAGAGACCTTCATCCTTCACCTGCTTCACCTGCTGTTAGCATTACATTGACTCCTATTCATTTTGGCGTCACTTTGACAGCGAATAACTTTACATCTGAGGCTTTTAAAGACTCCATTTGTCCATTGTTTATTTCTAAAGAAACACGACAATGTATAAATGCTACCTCCTACCCGGCTCCACTCAGTGGCTGGTCAACCTTTGCTGCTGCCTCCTGTCCTGCTCCTCCAAGGGGCTGTTCCACCTCTGCTGCTGCCTCCTGTCCTGTTCCACCCAGCGGCTGTTCCACATTTGCGGCTGTCTCCTGCCCTGTTCCACCCAGCGGCTGTTCCACATTTGCGGCTGCCCCCTGCCCAGCTCCACCCTGCGGCTGTTCCATCTCTGCTGTTCCACCCAGCGACTGGTCCACCTCTGCTGCTGCCTTCTACCCTGTTCCACCCAGCGACTGTTCTATCTTTGCTGCTACCTCCTGTCCTGCTCCTCCATGTGGCTGTTCCACCTCTGCTGCTGCCTCCTGTCCTGCTCCATCCAGCGGCTGTTCCACCTTTGCTGCTGTCTCCTGCCTTGCTCCATCCAGCAGCTGGTCCACCTCTGCTGCTGTCTCCTGCCCTGTTCCACCCAGCGGCTGCTCCACATTTGCGGCTGCCTCCTGCCCAGGCCCACCCTGTGACTGTTACATCTCTGCTGTTCCACCCAGCGACTGGTCCACCTCTGCTGCTGCCTCCTGCCCTGTTCCACTCAGTGGCTGGTCCACCTCTGCTGCTGCCTTCTGCTCTGACCCACTCAGCGACTGTTCCATCTTTGCTGCTGCCTCCTGCCCTGTTCCACTCAGTGACTGTTCCACCTTTGCTGTTACTCCCGACCCTGCTCCACTCAGTGGCTGTTCCACCTCTGCTGCTGCCTTCTGCTCTGTTACACCGAGTGGCTGTTCCACCTCTACTGCTACCTCCTACCCTGCTTCACTCAGCGGCTGTTCCATCGCTGCTGCTGCCTCAGGCCTGGCTGAAGTACCCATTGGTGCTTATTTTAGCATGGAGGATGTGAGGGCGGAGCTCAGAAGATTGAGCCCTGGCAAGTCAGCAGGACCGGATGGAAAACCCCCGAGGCTGCTGAAGGACTGTGCGGCAGAGCTGGTGGCTCCTTTGCACATACTCTTTAATTGGAGTCTCCAGAAGAGTTATGTGCCGAAGCAGTGGAAAACATCCTGCATTGTGCCAGTGCCTAAGGGTGGGAGACCTTCCAGGGTCAAGGATTACAGACCAGTGGCCTTGACTTCTGTGAATATGAAGACCCTCGAAAGGCTACTACTCCGGCTCCTGGGCCCACAACTACAGCAGGCACTTGACCCCATGCAGTTTGCCTATCGAGCGAACATGGGAGTGGAGGATGCTGTCCTCTACTTGCTTCATCGAGCCCTCTTTTATCTTGATGGTACAGGAGGGCATGTGAGGCTGATGTTTTTTTATTTTACGAGTACATTTAATACCATCCTGCCTCAGATTCTGAGAGGGAAACTTGAGAACTTGAGAATGGAGCCTGCTCTCATCAAGTGGATCATCAGTTACCTTACAGAGCGGCCACAATATGTCAGATTGGGGAACATGGTGTCAGACACTGTGGAAACAAGCATTGGAGCCCCCCAGGGTACTGTGCTATCCCCTTTCCTCTTCACCCTATATACATCAGACTTTTCATACAGAACATCATCATGCCATATACAGAAATATTCTGATGACACTGTGGTGGCGGCTTGTGTAAGGGGAGGAGACGAGGAGGAATACAGGAGGGTCATCTCGGAGTTTGTGACAGTGTTAATTTCGTTGACGAAGACTATGACGAAAATTATTCGTCAACAAACCTTTTTCACAGACGAAAACTAAATAAAAACTAAATAAAAAGTCAGATATGATGACGAAAAATGTGACGAAATATAACTGACACTTTAATCAACGAATAAAAACGAGACGAAAATATTAGGGAGGGACGAATGGAGAAGAGATCCAATCATAACTACTCTTTTTGTGGGACAAATGGGAAGAAATCCAATCAGAGCGAATCTTTGAGGGTAGGTTGATCTATGCAGAAGCAGCAGCCATTTTAAAAAGCCGCGGCAAATGCAGGAGTTTACACGGGAGGAGAACAAAAGACGAGTTGAGTTTGCAGAACGTTTTCACAACAGTTAGGTTGTTTAATTACATTACATTTAGCAGTGTTTAGTTGCACAGTCTTGGACTTAGTTACACAGGTTTGGCTGATTTCAGTTGGCTTTCCTCGTTACCAACACGCTAACGTTTTTCATGAACAATAGAAATGTCAGAGCTAGGTCTAGGACGAAAACGCAGAATTGACGTCTGGTCACACTTCACATATGACAACAAGGACAACAAGTCCGCGTGTAAACCGTGTGGAGCAAAAATCGCTGGGAAAAACACCACCAACTTGAAGCGACATTTACAGACGACTCATCCAGAAATACATGCGAAGGTAAGCAGACACGCTAAGTTTATTTTATCAGATAAACCACCGTGTTTCCGCTAAACTTGGAATAAAATATAAGCTAAAGGAAACCACCTCGGAACTGTATTGATTAGACGATTGTCTCGCTGAATTAATATGAGTATAAATATTAAATGTCCTCAAATTAAATCAAATGTGTACTATTATAGTAGATGTTGTGGTGTTGTAATGTATATGACTGGACAAAGGGTGTGTGTGTGTGTGTGTGTGTGTGTGTGAGAGAGAGAGAAAGAAAGAGAGATAGAGAGAGATCTGAGGAGATTGGGCAAAAAAGAAAAAAAATCACAACTTGATTCCCCTTTTCACCCTCACAGATAAAGAAGATGTCTGATGACAAAAATGGCCATGGGCCAAGTGGAAATAAAGCTAGGACTGCTAGTGCAACCCAGCAGCAGGCCATCTCTACAGCTTTCCTTAGTTCTTCAAAGTACAAAACTGAATCGAAGGAACAACAGACCAAGGAGCAGGCCATAGCTAGATGGATTGGACGCACAGGTTTACCACTCACAACAATTGAAGATGAGGACTTTGTGCTAATGATGGAGATAGTGGATAGGAGACTAACAGTTCCAAAGAAAACTAAAATGAGCAATTTGATTGAAACACAGTATGAACATGAAAGACAAAAATTCAAAGAGAGACTGGGTGCTGCACGGAGAGTATCCATTGGCCTTGATTTGTGTACAAAAAAAGGACTGACAGCCTCATTCCTTGCTATAAGCACATGCTACTTTTGTGTTGAACAAAGTAAACCTGTACACATATTGTTGGCCCTTGAACAAGTAGCTCACCCACACACTGCACAGTCTATTAAGGCATGTGTGGACAAATGTATGCAAGAGTGGGCCATACCAAAGGAGAAGATCCTGACAGTAATAACGGACAATGGGAGTAACATGGTGGCAGCCTTTAAAAACACCACAGCAGAAGAAACCAGCTCTGAGGACGACTCCCCTGGGTCCACTATGGAAAGTGACTCTGAAATTGATGAACAGCGGTGAGCCATGTTCGGTTTATTCTTTTACATGACAGTCGATTATAACATGAATGATTTTCCCCCTGCATCACACTACATATATACAATATACAGACACACACCAGCCACTTTATTAGGTTTAGACTTATTTGGTTGTCTTTTCTTCTTGTTATAGGTACCATCATGTTGAAATGGACCGGACAGCGTGCGTGGTGCATACCATACAACTTGTGGTCCACCTGTTGCAGAAAGAGACAACTGTAAAAAGAGTCCTCGATAAAGCAAGGTTTGTGGTGAAGCTCTTTCGCAAG